TACTCAGAGCAGGTATTAGTATATAGTATATTGCATATAGTATATTGCCAACAAATATTTGTTGAATTGGCTCAATCATTTTTTTTTCCTGTTATCAAATTAGCTTAAGGAATTCCCTGGCAGCCCAGTGGTTAGGACTTCATGCTTTCACTGGCATGGCTTGGGTTCATTCCCTAATTGGGGAATTAGGATCCTGCAAGATATGTGGCACAGCTAAAAAAAAAAAAAAATTTAGCTTAAAGTTGAGGTACAATAGTTATCAGTTAAAACCAACTATTATAAACATGATTAAGAGTCTGCCTAATTAAGTGTTATGGATCCCTGGAACATCTGATTTTCATTAGGTGAGTTGCTGACTCAAGTAAAGGCAAAGACAAAGGCAAAGGCCTCGTTGTTGCCCAGAACCCAAACAGTCTTATTTTGGGTGAATTCCAAGATAGAAAAGAAAAAACAGTGTGTGAATCTGTCAGGGTTCAATCAGGAGAAAGAAAACACACAGCGACTTGAATAGGGAAGATTTAATATAAAGAATTAACTACAATGGGAGTAAGAAAAATCCAAAGAAAAAGAGCAGATACAAGCACCAGCCACTACCCCCAGGGCAGAAGTAGGTGCCCAAGGAAGAAGTTCCCCACTGCAGGGCTAAAATTCACACTTGGTTGGACAGGGTGTGGTTCAGGCTTATGGAATAACAGAGAAATTGCTTCTATGTCACAATGAAAGAATTTGCTGGAAATCCGCCCTCTAAGGTACTAGGGAAAGCTGTTCATGGGGAAGTGTCTCAGCAGAAGAATTCAATTATATAACTGCTGGAAGCAAGGGAAGCTGCTGGTTTCTGGGGGCTGCTGACTGCTGGGCACTGCAGGAGCCTGGTACCTGCCATCCACCACCCATTATGCAGGAACATGCCAAGTGAGCAGACCAGAGAGGAAAGCTCCTTTCTTTGGCAATGTGTGTCCTTTGCCCTCTACTGACAAAGCTTGACATTATGCCAGCTGTCAAAGGAAAGATATTTAAAGGCCCAGATCCATTTTTGGAGAGCAGACAACGAAGGATAAATTTGGGGCTGAGAGGCAAGAAATTGATAACAGCCACAATTTCATTCAAACAGCCACAGAAATTCTACAGCTCAGATAGATTTTGCTCAAGGTGTGAGACCAGTAGAAAAACACAAAAAATAACTGTGGCAAGTTAATTTTTTTAATTAAACACAGTATAAGCACATAACATACAAAATTTATAATACCAGATATTTCAAAGATAAAATTTAGAAATACACATTTAAAAATAGAGATCTTTAATTATTAAACATTTCTTTCATTATCTGTTACTCCTTTGACTTGGAGCCAGAAAACTGACACCCTTTTTTTCTGCACCAAGATATCAATGTCTAGTCTCACATTTTGAGGTTTGGTGTGTAGGACTGAATTCAATCTTGTATCCTTTAACTGAGAGCAAAATTTAGTTTTGCTCAATTTCATGTCAGAAAATAGCTGTTCACAGACACCGGTGCTTCCAAACATGGACAGAATCTTTGCACAATGGTTTCTATATCTAGGGGAACTCTTGCTAAGGTATCTGTAGAATTCTGGTATACCAATGTCATCATATTTAGTCTTCAGTACTGTATCACACTGCAATTCAATAACTTCCATTTGTAATTCTTCATTAAAGATATCAATGTTAATTAAGAAAGGTGAGCTAAACAATGTGAGCTCATTTTCATAATGTTTGAAACCAAAATAATCTTTTTGGGGATGCAATCTTCAACTCTACAATTTGGGGGATGTAGATTAAACTATAACTTTCATTTCTATAAACTAATCTCAGTGTGAGCCAGATTGTTTACTGCCAAATGAATATCCCAAGCAGTACTCTTTGCTCTTTACTAGGAAAGAGCAAACCAGCATACATTTGTGTAACTATTTGGTGAACGTCTTTGCAGAAAAGTATTCAAAATGCTTAGATGGTTTGAATGTCACCCAAAAAGGCCAGACCTCTGATTCAATCTTCACTGGTGAGCTGGGGAAGGGATTTGCCCTTGGATGCCATGAACAAATCTATCTCCATTACTGATTCAAAAAATCTCTTCAATACCATGCCAGACTAAGTCACCTTACCTTTGTATAGTAAAGGAGATTATCATATTGTATATCCAATTCCTCAAGCAAAGCACTGAATTATCTATGACTAGAGCCATGAGAGTGTATCCAGTTTACTGTGTTTATGACTACATCCATGACATGTCCTAGTTTTAACTTCTTAGTATAAAATCATTCCTGGGGAATAATGCAGTGAATGGATTTAAGTTCTGCATCCTTGCAAAAACATTTTGACCTTGCATTAAATTTTTACAGCAAGTCCAGTGTTATCACAGACCATCACAGGGGCACCATCTGTGATCACACTTACTAATTTTGACTAGTCAACATCAAACTTTTTGAGACTTTTCTAAATATGAAAAAATAAGTCATCTTCAGATGCTGAGTAAGTCATAAGTACCATGTCCAAAAGTTCTTCAGTAATTCTCAACACCGCAGATAAATATAATTAACTGGCTCATGTTATTTATGTATGTGCTATCATCAACTGCAGTACAAAATGTCACAAATGATTTATTTCACTTTTTCTCACAACTTATCCTGTAAGTTCTCAGTCATATCTTTTACTCACTGAGCAACAGTGTTTCCATGTAGAACGTACCTTTGCAAATGCTTATTTCTGTTCAGGTCACATGATTTCAGCTGCACTGGGCAGACAATCTTTTATAAACTCACCATCTGTGAAAGGTTTTGATGCCTGGGCAATTTTTTCACTTATGCAACTGCATTTCACAGCAGCATCACTTATTTTATTTGTATTTGATGACAAATGCTGTAGAAAGTTTAGTCTTTTTTTTTAGTTCATGAAGTTTTTCATCATGCATCTTTTCTGCATGTCAGTCAAAATTCTTACCACGGTTTGTTTCATAATGGTGTCTTAAGTTGAATTCTTTTGACACAAGGTTTGGTTGCATATTAAACACATGGGGCTATTCTTTACTTCCAGAAAAAAATAAGCTCCTTCCCACTTTTCTCAAAACATGCAATGCTCTGGATCTGTCTTTCATTTTCCCACTTTTGATAGAGATACAAAAAGAAAGTTCATTTTTCTTTTCTCTGAGAGAAGCAGCAGCACAAACCTGTTGATAAATGGTAACTGACACCGTTTTGAGGAGTAACAGGGAGGAGGAGGGACTGTAGTAAACTGGAGAGCATTCCAAAGGGAGCAGCCCTTAGGTAGGGCAGACTGTTGGTATTTGATAACACAGGTTATTGTTACCAGATCCTCCCAATTTTTGAGGCCAGATATTGCATTTTATCACAAAATGAGCTGGCTCATTTAGATATTGTAAATTAAAACAAAAAATGTTAGACGCTGTGCAGGGCAAACAAAATAAATCTAAGGGTCACAAACACCCTCTGGGCACCAGTCTGGGGCCTCCGTAGCTCCAGTCACCTCCTAGCATGCGGCCCACCACTTCCAGGGTAGTCAGGGCTTCTACCCACACTGGCCCAGGGTGGCTTCATCCTGAGGGGAAATCTGCCAGAAACACACCCTTAGCCTCAGGAGTGAGGCCCTCCAAGGAGGCTACACGGGACGAGGAAGGAAAGGGAGAGCCAAGAGTATTCTCTTAGGAAGCCACAGAATTGGCAAAGGCCGGATGGCTCGGGGATACTCTGTTATCTTTGTCTAGATCTGGGCAACGGTCTCCAGGCCGGTCACTTCAAGAGTGTGTAGCTCCTGGACACAGACCAACAGCTTCATCTTGGCGACTGAAGGGATAGAGAATAGTGAGGTCAGGCGCTGGGCGACGTACGGGGAGGAGTATGGGAATCCAGGACAGTTCGTGGCTCTTAACGGTGTTTGTGGACTGGACAGCATCCTAGAGAGCTATAGAAGGGGCACGTGCCGGGCAAGCCAGGCCTCCTGAGACCCAGGGTGAGGCACTGCTTTCCCGTTCCTCTGAGCCCTGAAGACTTCAGTCTCTCAGGTTTCATGTTTCAGTTCTACCTAGATCTTACCTGGGACACTGTCCCATAACGTCGCCGTAACCGTGGAAACGGAATCCAACGTCTGCAGAGCAAGCGCAAGCACTCGCCACTAGGGGAGCATTGCGTCACTGCCTCACGCCTTCCACTGAGGCCACACCCCCATCTTCTTCGCCACGCCCCCCGCGATCCACGCAGGCGCGGTCATCTTCCTGGGCGCCCCACGGCTTTTGGAGGGCGTGCAAAAGATGGCGTCCTCCGTTCTCGGTCCAGCCCTGAGGAGCTGGAAAATTCGTACCCTGCCGGGCTGTGGAATATCGCAGATGATGGGATCTTAACCACTGGACCACCAGGGAAGTCCCCAAGTTAACATATTTATAAAATATTCAGAATCGTGTTTGGCACAGAATAGATGAATAGCATCTTGAGTTAGACGTGTAATTCAAACGTTTGTCTCAGAGTTCTTCAAATGCACCTCCTTACTCGAGTCCCACAGGTCGGAGGAGCAGACACATCAGAGCCCAACCCTTTTTCCAACCTTGTTTGTAGCCTACTAGTCTCCCAGACTCCCGGCAAATTGAACCCAGTGCTTTTCTATCTCCAGCCCCCTGCCGCCTTGCTTCCTACTTGGAATGCTCTCCTTTCACCTGTTGAGTTTCTTTCCCTCCTTGGAGGCCAGTGGCTGAAAGAAAGGTGGTTGTTTCTTTGCTTCAGACACAGACCCAAGGCCTGCCTAATCATGGTGTGATCTGTGGTTGAGGGCTAGTTTGTGGAGCTCCTGCTGCCCCCAGCAGCCTCCCACAGCAGCTCTAGATGAGGAGAGGGAGAGACATCCAGCCAGTGGATGGGTCAGCCTTCTTGGTCTCTGCCTTTTCAGGGATAGGGGATTACGAACCTAGTAGGCTAGACTGCTTTCTGGAGGGAGGAGGCCCCTGGCGAGGCCTGCCTGACCTTCCTTCTGGCCCACAGCAGGACGTGGAGGGCTTCCCCTCAGCGGGGCTGGGTTTGATGCCCATCACCCACATCAGTGAGGTAATGGGGACCATGCTGGCCAAGGGTGGCTCCCTCCTGGCCCCTAGGGAAGGGCTTTTGAAGTTTGGCCAAGCAGCCTGCATTCGTGTCCCCATATTACAGACAAGCTCAAGGGGCCTCTGAGCTAGGGAGAGATGCTGGAATTGTAACAGGGAGCACAGTGACTGGATCCTTGGAACCAGGCTCTGCCCTGAAAGGGGTGGGGGTGGGAACCCACAGAGGGATCAGCAGTGGAAGACAGGCTCTGAGTACCTTCAGGGAGGGGTGTTTCCCAAGCAGTGTGTGGGAAAGCTGCTGGTGTCCACTTCCTTCCTGTTTTACTAGTGGGGACACTGGCTCTTCTGCTTGGTGGGAGCATATATCCTAACCCAGCTCCAGCAGGCAGCAACTTAAATTCTAGAAGTGGGTGTGGTGCTCAAGATGGGGTGGGCTTTCCTCCTAGGCCAACTGTCCCCACGGTCTCCTGTGAGTATGGTGGAGCCCCTGCCCTGTGTCCTGCAAGGTGGCGTTGGGCCCTACAGAGCTGGCCCAGAGATGGGCCTGAAGGACAGTGCCCGTGGGTGGTAGGGCTCTAGAGTGGTAGACCAGCTGTGGGGCCCCCACCAGTCTCTTCCACTTCAGATCCCTCTCTTCACCCAGACATGGCAGCTTTGGGGTCTCACAGACCTGAGTTCAAATCCCACTACAGTTTCCCTGGTGGCTCAGTGGTAAATGTGCCATTGCAGGAGATGCTGGAGCCATGGGTTCGATCCCTGAGTTGGGAAGACACCCTGGAGAAGAGCATGGCAACCCACTCCAGTATTCTTGCCTGGAGAATTCCCTGGACAGAGGAGCCTGGCGGTACAGTCCACAGGGTCACAGAGGGTCAGACATGATTGACCGTGCACGCACACATGTAAATTAAGCAATGTTAGCCCTGATTTTCTCAGCAACCCTGCAAGGTAGGTATCACTAACTCCATTTTAGAAATGGGGAACCTGACTCTCACAGGCTAGGTTGGACTCAGAGACCTAGGTTCTTTTCGCCGTGTGTTGGCTCCCCTCTGGCATTAACTCTGGTGCCTGTGTGCCTTTTGCTCATGCGTGCGCATAAGCCTGTCAGCCCCCACCAGGCTGATCTGCCCAAGCACAGCAGGTCCCACAGCTTTTTTTTGCCTTTGCGGCTGCCAAGCTTCAGATAGATGGGCACCTTGGTGGACATGGAGACCTCACCACCCAGGCCTGGACAGTCTGCTCGTGGGATCATGGCCTCCTCTGTCTCCTCTCACCACCCTCAAGAAACACCATCTCCAAAGAGGGATTTTCTGTCACCAGAACTTGCCAAGGGGCTGAGGCACTGGAGGTGATGGGCAAAGCAGCCACTGCTCTCATTCGGGAGGCCCAAGCCAAGGCCCCTTATTAAGGAATTCTTTTAACCAAGGCTGACTGGCCTGCACCCTTCTCTGTTTCCTAGTCCTGCTCTCCCATCCCTCCCCCCCACCCCACCCCAGGCTTGTAGCCTGTGTCTCCCTCAGGTTTGTCCAGGTGTGGGAGCCCAGCTTCCTGGGAGGAACTGTCCCATCATGTGACCAGAGTTTGGGCTGAGAAGACCTATGGGGGCCTGGTGTTCAAACTGGGCTCCGAGAGCCCTGTGTCCCAGGCCAATTTGGCATGCCTCCCTTCCTGCTTCCAGCTGTTCTTTGTGGGATGCGTATTGTTAAAGGGAGAGATTATTGCAGTGATGGGGAGGGGCTCCCTCAAGAACCACAGGGTTTGACTATGGCAGCCAGGCAGCCCAGGCAGCCCTGTTCCAAGGTGCAGACTGTCAGCATCAGGTCCAGCAAAATGGGTTGTGATCCTCTTGACTTGGAAGGTGGGAAGGGAAGCTGGCCAAAGTTAAGGGAGGGGCAGAGGGAAACTCAAGAGGCTGAGAGACGAGGCACCCACTGTCAGCTTATGTGGGGCCTTGCCTAGGACCACAGCTGCCCCTGTTGGGTCCTGAGCTGGGGTCTCCTGGGGTCCTGCCTCCAGTCCCAGGTGCCTGGAGAGTGCAGGCTCAGGGCCACTCAGGCCCCTCTTGCATTTTCTGCAACGAGGCCTGCTTGTTGGCCTCTCTTCCCGCTCCCCAGGGCCACTCCACGACCTGCCCACTTCGGCCAGGCCTCCTCCTTTTAGACTTTGTCCACCCAGCCCTTCCTGGTCCTCAGAGGCTGAGAGGAAGGCAGTGGTGAGTTGATCCCGGGAGCCCTGGGTGGACAAGGCCAGGTGGGGAGCACACCCTGTTAAGTGTGGCCTCCAGATGGGCCCCCTAGCCTTGGGCTTTGCAGCCCCTAAGCTGTCCTCCCCTTCCCACGTCCACCCACCACGTGTGGCCCGGGTGGAGGGGGGCTGCAACCCATAGAGCCCTTGAGCTCCAGCCACCTGCTGCGTCTGCTCATCTCATCCAGGCCCCTCCAGGGGGTGAGGGGCTGAGCGGGGCTGGAGGGCTCCTGGGAGAGGCCCTGGGTGCCCCACCCCGACACCTCTCCTTGGGGACCACGATGCCTGATGGGGCGGGAAGGGCCTGGAGTGTGGAGCCGGAAGGAAGCAGGGACGCTGCAGGGACTCGAACCCCGGCCCAGCAGTGCCAGGCGTGCCACCACCAGCGCCTTTTGCTTTTTCCTGCTCATTTTCTCACAGACTCAAAGGTGAAAAGCAAAACCTGGACGCGGCCCAGCCGCGTCCAGGAAAAGAAACACCTGCGGCGGCTCCATGCCCCCCACCCCCCCAGGCTCACTCCTTGCCGGACACCCCTTTCACAGGCACAGCCAGGGGACACGCGTCCCCTCGGCTTCACACAGATGTGTCTCCTGTTGTGCTGCGCTACACAGCCACGGGAGCACGTGACATCCGACGGGCAGACCCACCCACGAGTCACAGTCCTGATGCTTCTAGGACAGTGCCAGCGGTGACAGGATATGTATGGGTACAGAAACCTCCGGTAGGGCTGGGATGGGTGAGGGGAAAGGAATTTTACTTTTGTTTTATAGCTTTTCCATGACTTGAATTTTTAACTCTATGCAGATTACTTTTATAATTAAAGCCAAAAATCTTAAATCTTTCATCACAACAGGAAATCTAAGAGCCAGGGGAAACTTTGAGCACGCTGGCCTAGCACCAGTGCCAATGGTCCTGCAGGTCTGCTGTGCCCTGGCTGCTGGGATCAGAGACATGCCCACCTGCCTCGCCTGCTGTCCTCCGTCTCAGCCATCGTCAGCTGTGGAATCCCTCCTGGGAACTGCCTTGACTGGAAGACGAAGTCGGAAGCACAGGGTCCCCACCAGTCTCTCCGCTCACCGACTCAGCGGGGCCTGCGTTCTGGGGCCCAGAGGTACGAGGGGCTCACTGTGGACCCTGGCCAGTACCGGCCCCCAGCTCTCCCTCCCAGCCCCCTGCCCTCAGCACCCACTGCTCCCAGGCCAGGCTCTGCCTTCCCTGGGCCCACGACCGGTCCAGTGGGTGCGCCCCTCCCAGCTCGGTAATCTTCCCAGAAGTTCTGCCCCGGCCTCTCCCGGGGGGAGGGCTCCTGGACCCCTGCTGTCAGCCCCAAGGAGCTCAGAAGCCCCTTCCTTGGCAAAGTCCAGATGAAAGGCTAAGAAGCTCAGAGGACTGAAACCTGTGCAGGGCCACACCACAAGTTAGGCTGAGAAGTGTGAGCAGGGCCGACCCCATTCTCAACACATCCCTCACCCTAAGGTCTAGGGCCCACCGGGTGGGCTCAGAGCCAGGCCTATGGGCCGAGCCTCCATCCCTTCACCCACATCCCACATGTCCCTGTCCCTCTTTTTAGCCCATCTCCCCTCACAGCCTTCCTTCAGCTTCACCCCCCAAACACACAACAAAAGGCAGCACTTACTTATTGCAGCAGGAGAGAGAGACGTGCATGGCCATCTAAGTCCCAACCTGATGGTGAAGCAACAAAGCTCTGACCTTAAAAGGCCCCAGAAATGGGGGTAGTCAAAACATACTGCAAGATGAGCAAAGAGTTAATTTGACACGTTAGTGACAAGGCCCTTACTGTTTGTACTTTGGGAAACCCAGAGGGTGATCTACACAGGGAAACATGCCACTGGCTAAAAGGGTGAAAATTAAAGTGGCTTCAAGAAACCACCACACATTCATAGTCAATGAACAAATATAAGTGCGTCACTGGCCACTGAGAACCATCTGGAGGGCACAGGGCAGTGAGCAAGGAGGACTAGGCAATTGCTTCTTCCCTTTGGCCAGTGGGGAATGCAAGGCCATGAGGAATATGCCCAAAGACGTTTGTGACAGTCCTCTGTCATCACAAAATGCTGGACCCCAGTTGCTATGGCCCACAAGGCAGCAGTGACAGTTTCCCACCTGGAATGCCCAGGGGGCCTCAATTAGAACAGGTGCATGGTTTCAGCAGGGTAACTGTGCCCACAACACAACCTGAAGTGGGAAAAACAAAAAGCTACCAATTTAACGATGTAAAATGAACATACATAGGCAGAAAGATGTAAAAACAGTTTCAAATTTCAGTTGAAAATAACTCTCCACAGGTACTTCAGTCAAATGCAAATGAGACATGGCCAGGCGGGGGTGGGTGGGATGAAGGTCTGCCCTGTCTACATCAGACAAAGTGAATTCCAAGCAGGCAGCAAACAGGCAGATCTTGATGTTCCAATGATGCTGCAGCAAGACACAGAAAACAGAGCTGCTGAGCCATCTTGGGGGAAGCGGGGAGAACCAGAAGAGGTGCTGAGAATGTACCCACACTCCTCAGCTACAATAAGACGTAGTGGATTTGGACCAGACCAAAAAAACATGCAAAGGGACTGATCCAGAATGTGGAACGTATCAGAGAATACCTTCTTGAGTGCCGTGGAACATTTATAAAAATTATACTTTAAGCAATGAACAAAGGGAGCCATAGATTCAAAAAAGCAGTCGTGTTTAGAACTACTTCTGGTCACTTCTTCAAGTAACTGTTCAGTAAACCAGAGGCTGATTACCATAGTTTAAAAAAAAAAAAAGGTGTACCATGAAGGCAGGGCCAGTCATTGTGTTTACCTGTGTTCCTGGGGACCAGCTCAGGGTCTGGCCATGGAGATGAGCGTTAGAAGTCAAAACCCGGAGGCGACAGCAGGTCACTGCTTCTCTTTGCTGAATTCCCTCTCCATGTGTCTGCCAGGCCCCAGCCACCAACTGGCATGGGTACATCCTCCTGGGTGGCATCAGTAGCCTCTCTTAGACAGGCCCCACACCTCAGTAGAGGACCCTGTCCAAGGTCAGAGAGATGACAGAGCCGCAGGGCTGGAGCAGGACCTTGGGCCACAGCCACCCTGTGCCATTCTCCACCTCTTTCCGTTGTTAAAAGTATGTGAATCTGAACATGAATGAATGAGGTATGCAAGGCTCTAGAAAGAAAGTAACAGAACAAAATCCAAGGAAAGCCAGAGAGAAGAATGAAATAAAAGCAGAAATTTATGAATTACAAAATGAAAGCAGAACTACTTATTTTATCTAAAGTTGCTTCTTCAAAAAGGTCAATAGAGTTCTTAAAAGACTATTAAAAAAAAAAAAGACTATTCAAGAAAAAGAAAAACCAGCAATAAGAACATAGTGAAGGACTTCCCTGGTGGTCCAGTGGTTTGGAGTCCACCTGCAGGGGACACAGGTGTGATCCCTGGTCCAGAAGATTCCACATGCCACAGGACAACTCAGCCTGTGCTCCACAACTACTGAGCTCTGTGCCCTAGAGCTGGTGTTCCACAACAAGAGAGGCCACCAGCAATGAGAATTCCGTGCATGGCAACTGGAGTAGCCCTTGCTTACCACAGCTAGAGACAGCCCGTGCACAACAGCGAAGACTCAGCACAGTCAACAATGCATTGATTTAAAACAAAGAGAAGAAAACATAAAATGTAAAAGGATATTGCACACTAATACATATGAACATAATTTTTTTAGAAAATAAACCTGAAAAGTTTATGATCAGATAGAAATATTGACTAGTCCAGTTGACTCAGTTTTCAAAGAACCACTCAACCTCCGAAAAGAAGCGGCAGAACACCCCACGCTGTGCGAGAAGGCTGGGAACTTTCCATTCTTATGTGTTTCTCTCGGAACGGACAGGGTGGCACCACCACTCACCTCCCAGCACCCGCACCACATGCACACCTCACTTCAGCTTCACGACATGCACACCTCACACCGTTGGAGAGCGATGCACTGTTTTTCTCCCCATTCTGAGGAAATTGGCTTTAAGAATTTAAGGAATTTGGCCAAAAGCATATGCCGATAAGCAGCAAAGTAGGGAACAGGGAGGGACCAGCTGTCAGGGCTGAGCTCAAACCACTTGCCCTGAAGTTATGTCTGCCTTTCCTGAGATCCCGACACCTGCTTGCCTGGCAAGGCCCCAAGTCAAAGTCGACCCTCTGGTTCATTTCTGTCAACAAAATAGAGCTCCAGGACTGGAAAAGTTTGTTTCAGAAATCATAGGAGGGCTTACTATCCCACTAATTCTTAATCATTAGAAAATGAAAGGAGAAAAACCTGATGCTCCATCTCAAAAGATGCAGAAAAGACGTTAATAAATCCCTATCACTGATTTAAAAAACAACAGAAGCTTCCTCATAATCTACTAACAAATAATCCCAGTGCATCTAGCAGTGAGCCCACTGACATCTCTATGGAGGGACAGCACTCCTCATTCACTTATTTAAGGTTCGCACTCTTTTCTCTCCAAACACTTGTGATCTCACAGAAGACACTTTTCCCAAACCTTAATTCACAAATTTTTTTGCCACATCTGAATACAGCAGTCCTATTTCCCCCCCTTAAATCAACTAACTTTTAAAATATAAATTAACTTATTTCAAAAGACAGTATCAAGAAAGTAGAGTTGCAACCCACAGAATGGGAGAAAACATGAAGAAATCATATATCAGATAAGGGTATTGCTTCCAAATATATAAAGAACTCACAGCTCAATGATGAGAAGACAAATACCCAGGTAAAAAAATGGCAAAGAAAAAAAAAATGGCAAAGGATCAGTATAGACACTTCCTTAAAGAAGATACACACATGGCTAACAAACACATGAAAAATGTGCTTGACATTATCCGTCATCACAGAAAGGCAAATCAAAATTATGAGATACCACCATCATGTTCACTTGGATGGCTACAACTAAAAAGGTAAGAACAAGTGTTGGCAAGAATGTGGAAAAACGGGAACCCTCATAAATTACTGATGCGAATGTAAAACAGCACAGCTCCACTGAGAATCACTTTGGTTAAACACAGAGTTGTTGCATGAACCAGCAGTTCCACTCCTATATATATACCAAAGAACTTAAAACTTGTGTTTGCACAAGAACTTGTACACAAATGTTCACAGAAGCATTACTTCTAATTGCAAAAATAGTGGAACAATTCAAATGTCCAACTGATGATAAACAAATATGGTATATCCATACCATGAAATATTACTCAGCCACAAAAAGAACTATTATTGCATGCCACAACATGAATGAACCTTGAAAACACCATGTTAAATAAGACAGACACAAAAAGACAAACATCGTATGATTCCACTTACACAAGGTATCAAGAAAAGGCAAATTCACAGAGTATAATAAAGGAACTAGGGATGGGGGGGTCGGGGTTGGAAGATGGGAAATTGTAGGGGTAGTGAGCTTCTGTTTGAGATAATGAAAAGTTCTGGAAATGGATAATGGAAATGGAACATTAGTGTATGTGAACTAATATGAACACGCAGCACATTCACAACATACTGAACATACTAAAACCCACTTAATCATACACCTTGAAAGCATGAATTTTATGATACTGTGAATATTTCAGTTAAAAAAGGAAACTTTGTATTACCACAATTGGAAAACAAGGAATTTTCAAGTACATGTTAAAAAAAATACATAAAC